TGATTGAAATAGAAAAAACAATCATGAAATTGATCTGGAAAAATAAGAGACCCAGAATAGCTAAGGCAATTCTAAGCAGGAAGAGTGAAACAGGTGGTATCGCTATATCAGACCTTAAACTAAACTACAGAGCAATAGTAACAAAATAAGCATGGTATTGGCACCAAAATAGGCCGGTGGGCCAATGGTACAGAATAGAGGACACAGAGACTAACCCACAAAATTACAGTTATCTTATATTAGACAAAGGTGCCAAAAACATGCACTGGAGAAAAGATAGCCTCTTCAACAAATGGTGCTGGGAAAACTGGAAATCCATATGCAACAAAATGAAATTGAACCCCTATCTTTCACCATCTACAAAACTTAACTCAAAATGGATCAAGGACCTAGGAATTAAACCAGAGACTCTGAATGTAATGAAAAAGTAGGCCCTAATATTTATCATGTGGGATTAGGCCCCAGTTTCCTTTAAAAGACTCCTATAGTGCAAGAATTTAAAACACATGAGTTTCTTTGAGGAACTACAAGTAAAGAACATATAACAAATGGGATGGATTCAAACTAAAAAGTTTCTTCTCAGCAAAAGAAACAATCTGTGAGGTGAACAGAGAGCCTACATACTGGGAGCAAATTTTTACCCATCACATATCAGATAGAACAATAATCTCTAGGGTATATAAAGAACTAAAGAAGCTAAGCACCTAAATAAATAAATAAATAAATAACCCAGTTAATAAATGGGCCAAGGATATAAAATCAATCAACAAACATATGAAAAAATGTTCATCATTTCTAGCAATCAGAGAAATGCAAATCAAAACTACTCTAAGATATCACCTCACTTCTGTCAGAATGGCAGCTATTATGAAGACAACAAGTGTTGGCGAGGATGTGGGGAAAAGGTACACTCATACATTGCTGGTGGGACTGCAAATTGATGCAGCCAATTTGGAAAGCAGTATGGAGATTCCTTGGAAAATGTGGAGTTAAAATCTGCATATGAGAATGGAACCACCATTTGACCCAGCTATTTCTCTTTTCGAGCTATACACAAAAGACCTAAAAACAGCATACTACAGGGACACAGCACATCAATGTTTATAGCAGCACAATTCATAATAAGTAAACTGTAGAGCCAACTTAAATGTCCTTCAGTGGATGAATGGATTAAAAAATGTGGCAATTATACACAATGGAATATTATTTAGCAGTGAAAATGAACAAAATCATGGCATTTGCAGGTAAATGGATGGCGCTGGAGAAGATAATGCTAGGTGAAGTTAGCCAATCCCCAAAAAACTGAATGTTTTCTCTGATATAAGCGGGGTGACTCATAGTGGGGTAGGGAGGGATAACAGGGAGGATTAGATTAATTCTAGATAGGGAAGAGAGGTGGGAGGGGAAAAAGAAGGGGAAGGGAATTAGCAACAATGGTGGAATGTGATGGTCATCATTATACAAAATACATGTCTAAAGATTTGAATTTGGGGCCAACATACCTTATATACAAACAGATATGACAAATTGTGGTATATATGTGTATTAAGAATTGTAATGCAAAAAAAAGAGTACATATATAATGGCATAAGTTGTGTGAACATACTTTATATACAGAGATATGAAAAATTGTGCTCTGTATGTATAATAAGGATTGTAATGCATTCCACCGTTGTCGTGTATTTAAATAAATAAATAAGAATAATAATTATAGGTAATTTAAAATTTTAAAAAGTCATCAGATCTATTTTATTTGGTTTACATGTGAGCATATAATTTATAGAATTTTTACAGCTTGACAAAAAGTAAGAATACCCTAAAATAACTAGAGAACAGATACCATATAATATTTGTTTGGAATTTCATAAGACTATATTCTGGCATACTTATGTGCTCAGTGTCCAGAAGACCCAATAACTGGTCAATAATCTGAACCAATTCTCTCTGACAATTATAGGAGGTTATGGATCCAAGTGTACCATCAAAGGTCACAGTATACTTTCACCATGGAATCCAATTGGCAATCAAAAAGTTTGCTGAGAACTGTAACTCAAAAAGTATAACAGAGAGGGCAAAGAGAAGGTTGTCTTTGAGGTTAGTTGGATGTAGAGATCCTGTCTGTAGGCCCCACTCAAAAATAAATGTCTTTTTGATAAAGTGATGGATGGGCCCTTAAGTAGCCAAAGTAGGAAAAGCAAGAGCACCAGTACCCCAATAGTCCCACTAATCACTGGGCTTTCTTTTTATTTGTTGTCACTGAAAGCAGCTAAAACATGGCTCTCTGCAGTAAAACATACTAACTATTCCTAGTTTATTCCTAGAAATGTCACATGATCCATGGGTCTTTGAAATGTCCTAGCCATGTTGCAACATGTGAATTAACATAGCAGCCAGTTCTTGTTGGGTAAGAACTGGCTGCTATGTTAATTCACATGTTGCAACAAAGGCTTGTCTGGACCCAGTGGATTAGTATAATAGAATGCTAGTGTTTATAAACCAAATAAAATAGAGAATAGTGCTTTTACCAGATTATTAAGTATCCATGAGACCCAAGGTAAACTTTTAGTTGTAAGCCTTTGTAAAAATTAAAAATCAAGTGACATATTTTCAGCATACAATGGTATAGGGAGAGCATTGCCATTCCAAAGGGAGCTATAGGAAACAGAAAAGAAGGATGGAACCAAAACCCTTGCTTCACTTCAGGCATTCAAGGTGGCAGGACGTGGAAGCCCCACCCTCTACCTACCATATTTCCAATTACAGCCCACAGTGCTTTTCTCTTGTGCTTACTCTCCTTGCTGTCTGTAGCTTCTTGACCAATGTTTTCTGTCATCTCCAACTTTTTTGGGTCTTCACCGCAGACTTAGCTTCACTCTCATAACTTCATGCATAACCCTCTGAGGGGCTATATGCAGGAATTCCAACCTTTACTTCCTTTTAAATCTTTTTTTTTTAAAGAGAGAGAGAGAGAATATTTTAATATTTATTTTTCAGTTCTCGGCGGATACAACATCTTTGTTTGTATGTGGTGCTGAGGATTGAACCCAGGCCGCACGCATGCCAGGCGAGCGCACTACTGCTTGAGCCACATCCCCAGCCCTTCCTTTTAAATCTTAATGGAAGTTTCCATGGCCATGCAAGAACTTACATTCTGTGTTACTGCAAAACCAGTAACACATGAACAGTGACACTAAGGTCTGTCACCAGCTTGAGCAGTACCTGGACCCACTTGAACCATGACTGTAGCAACCTCTCTGAGTACCTGGATGGCTGAGCACAATAAAATGTATCATGAGGATATAAATTCCCAAGTGTTATTGTGGGAGCACTGTATTCTCAAAATGAAGTCTCAAAAGAGTTTTCACTTTTATACCTTCAAGCTTGTGATGTATGGGGTCTTGGTGATTTCTGAGATGTCCTCAAGGCATCTTTAATATTATAAGGGCACAAAGCTCTGGGTTGCTCTTTAATGATGTTAACTTCTTCAGCACCACACCTTCTGTGGTCACAGTTTTGCACACAATTTTCTGATCAAACTTCAAGTTTTCAGATCTTTCTACTCTGATTTTTGCTCCCTATTCTTAATAAATCTGACTAAAAGCAGGCAGCCATACCAATTCATTGCCTGAATGTTGTACTGCCTTAAAATTTCCTCCACAAGATTAGTTAGTCCATCACAGAAAGTCAGCCTCACAGAAAGTCCAAGAGTATGGACAAAAAGTAGTCAAGCTCTTTGTCAGAATCTAATATGTATGATCTCTATTCCAGTTCCCAATAGATTCCTCATTTCCATCTGAAACTTCATGAACACAGTCTTTGCTGGTTTCATTCCTACCAGCACTCTGATCATCTGGACTTCTACCACAATTGCTCATTGTTTCACCTACATCATTTTAAGGCTTCTCTAGCCTGTATCTCCAAACCCCTCACACAAACTAGTTCCAAAGTCTCCTGAACCATACAGTCATATATAATTACAGTAATATTCCACTTGTGGTACCTATTTTCTGTGTTAGCTTTTGGTTTGTGTCCAAACTGCCTATCAAGAACAACTTTAAAGGAGAAAATATTTATTTTGGATCATGATATCATAGGTTGCAGTTCATGGTAGGCTGGCTCCATTGCTTTGGGTACAATATAAGACAGAAGTAGAAGGGAACCTGCAAAGCTATTTACCTTATGACTACCATTAGGAAGGAGAGGGAGGGAGGAAGGGAAAGGGGGAAAGAGAGAGAGGGAGAAAGAAGGAATCAAGAACAAGATGTAATCTGCAGGCATGTCCCTAGGGATCACAGCCTTCAACTAAGTCACACCTTCCACAGTCTCTGGTGCCTTCCAGTGTGCAATCAACTGTCAATGGATTAATCAACTAATGTGGTCAGGCTTTGTGATCCAGTCACTTTCTCAAGGCCCACCTCTGAAAACTACTGCATTGGGGACCAAGCATTTGACACATGAACCTTTGAGGGACAATCCAGATCCAAACCATAGTATACTATATGTATTTATATACATACTTATATGTATACAAACACATGCATCATTATATACCATAATTGATATTATGCCATAGTTTGTGATATACATATCAGTTACTCAACAAATTTCTAATATTCAAAAATTTCACTGATCTTGAATATTTTGCAATTATAAATGATGTTATAATGAATAATCTGGTGCATACACATTTTCATTTGTTGGTCTGTGAACAGGTATTAACCTAAAATATAAATATCCTAAAAAAATTACATACTAATACAAAACATTTGATGTTTAGGTGTATTTACAAAGTGACAATACATCTTCAACACATTGAAAATGTTCTAACAGTTTTTATACCAGATCTAGTATCATAGTAATTTATTTACAGCTTTATAAAATGAAAGACAGTATTGCTACCCTTTAGTATAAATTTGAAATCTGGAGATTATAGAAATAAATTTCTATTGAATTAAAGGACTAAATTTCTACTGAAGGACTAAATGTCTCTCTTAACGTAGCTCATGAAGAAGTACCACATGAAAACGAAATGAAAGATCAAGATTCAGTGCCAAAAACCCAAGTGCAATCAAAGAAGCAAAAAACTTCCAGAGAAGAACTTAATAGTAAGTTACTGATTATAGCTATTTTTATATTATTGTAAACTAAATTCATTAGAATAACTTTTTTTCTTTGGTTCATAAATATGTATTTGAGTATATACTAAAATATCTTTTTCTTTTTATGGAGCAGGGTACCTGGGATTGAACTCAGAGGCACTTGACCTCTAAGCCATATCCCAAGCCCTATTTTGTATTTTATTTAGAGACAGGTCTCACTGAGTTGCTTAGCCCCTTGCTTTTGCTGAGACTGGGTTTGAACTCATAATCCTCTTGCCTCAGCCTTCCAAGCTGCTTGGATTACAGGCATGCACCACAATGCCTGGCTTCACTAAAATATCTTAACTGCAGCATATTTCATCAGAGGGTGGGACTAAATGCCACTGTGTGTTCATATGGAAAAACACATTTAATCAGTAATACATTTATTAGTAAGGGCCATAACAAAATTTGTAGTGGCCTGAAAGGATCCACTCAAATTTGTGAATGGACAAAGGTAGAATGAGGCCCTAGAGTAATAATTAGAAAAATATTATCACTTTCTCCTCATCCTTGTGATAAAAATTTTGAGGATCATGGTGACTTGTTTACTTGTATCCAAAAATGCATATTTACTGGTATCCAGGAAATGCAATTTCCTTCTGCCTCCATATAGAACTTTGAACTTGGTGTTGGTTCTTAGTTGCCTTGGGAACTTTGCCTAACCCCTAGTTATGTTCACTTATGAATATTGAGAGGTCTGAATAAAATAGGTACTGTATGAAGGACCTCACAAGGTGCTACTTCAAGATTACTTCATTCATCAAGGAGGCAAACCACTCAAGTCTCAAGATCCATTGACAGAGTGATGGGGATAACATTTGTAGTTAACTGTAGTGGCCTTCAAATGTAGATCTCAGTGACTGCTGGAACCCTGATGGCTCATTATTCGATCTTCAGTCTTTGGTGGAGAATTGTTTTGTTTGGTAACCAGTCCCATGATTCTCTTTCATAAGGTCATTGCCTGCACTGCCCAGAAGAGGACACAATTACCATTTTTATATCACCTCATTGGTCATTGTTTGCTATCTGGGATGTCACCTGGGCACCCCAAATTTATCAAAGATCTGGATTGTGTCATTGATTGAATGATATGACCTTAAGAGGAGCTTGGTTGAGCTTGATGACCAGCAGGATTGAAACAAATGAACTTAAAAATCTGTGTCTGTGGCTGGGGTTGTGGCTCAGCCGTAGAGCACTCGCCTAGCACGTGCAAGGCCCTGGGTTCAATCTTTAGCACCACATAAAAATAAATAACTAAAATAAAGGTGTTGTGTCCAAA